TGCAAGTCTGCATGTGCAAAATATTTGACAAAGTAAAACCCCACCCCAAAACCACACAAACACAGCTCTGTGTTTTCAGGGGGTCTGACATCAGCCATTGGAAATTCTGACTAGAACTGGGTGAACATCTCACGAATTTTTATGAGCCTGTGGCTCCTCTGAGTTTCATTCAGTCTTGCATATTCACAGCAATATAATACAAGTCTAACCATTTCCAGCAGAAGAAAGGGAATTGTTAGGAATTTTATAAAGTCAATTGTATTACAAGACTCTCCTGTAACACCTTGATCCTGGACACAACTGTCTGTCCTGGCTCTGAAGGACCATCCATTCACTTATGAATAACTCCAGACACAAACTGCTGAAAAGCAGTTAGTCCTCATGGAAACCCGAACTCAGAGAGCTGTTTATAAACAACTTACAGACCTGCAGTGGCAATAAGGATGCACTCCTCCAAAAGGTTTAGTTCCATGCTATGCTCCATGTGTACAGCAAGTCCTAACAATGAACTACAGTGGAAAGCAGTCAGGTAGTTCAATAGGTGCTTTGAAAAAACCACTTATTACTCCAAAGCCACCCAGAAGGCCTGGTCAAGGTCCCACTGCACACAGTGATTACAGCCCAATCTGAAACCATTCGTCTTGGCCTGGTGAGCCGTCACAGCCAACAATTTGTTAAATGCTTTCGTCTAAATGCCACAAAATTTCATGTTGTGTGAAAACATAATTACAGGGAAAGGATCTGAGCTAAAATAGCTGTGCTGACCCTAACCTGCTATCACCCGATATCAGAGACTCATTGAGGCTAAATTTATTGTTCTATTAAACAGCTCCACCATGCCATAGCTTCAGCATGCCCAGGACTGGAGGTGCAGGAGCTCAGCCCAGGGCTCCCCCGGGCACCCCGGAACAATCCAGGCAATTTGGAGGTGTTAATTCCCCAGTCAGCTAGAGATCCTGTGAAAAATTCCTAACTCAATCTGTGTTTAAACTGAATGATAAATCCCTGTGTGTTCTACCCACACATTTGGGCTTTTATACCATCTTTTTGAAGCAGACTAGAGACTGCATGATCAGGCAAGAATTTAAAAAATGTGCTGTAGTGCCAGGTGCCCAGTTAAACACAGCTATAAACCTCAGACAATGCAGAAAGCTCTGCCAAATGAACTGAGGCTCTGGCACCTAAAGGCAAAAAGTGAAATTTATTAATCAATTTTCCTTCTCGCTCTCATGTTCGCTTGTAAAAATGAGATTGTAAACCAATCTTACGAGATCCAAATTCTTCCGTTTTCTGCTTTAAATGTAAAAATGTTTTTATCCTTCTGCTTCTAATTACAGCTTCTTTTTCTTTCTAAGAATGCATTTATCTCTTTCAGTAAAAAGAGCAGCAATAATATGTTGAACAACCCTGAAATAAATTTTGTCATGTAAAAAATTAATTACGCATTCCAAACCTGGTCACTGTAGCCCTCTGGGAATTGCCTCCGCACCTCAGGATCTGTAAATAATTGACAGATAATATTAATTGGCTTTGGATTAGTGAGCAAGCAGAGAATCACACATTAATATTTGATCAGAAGATGATAGCAACCCTGGCAGGGGATCCAAGGAGGGCAGCTGAGGCTGCTGCGCTGATAAGAGCAGGGAAGGACTTTTCAAGGCTCTCCCTTTACCCTCCTCCAGACAGAAAAAAACTGTACATAAAATACACACAAAACACATGAAACCAAAATTGTCTGTGTGTACATACACACACACAGATATATAGATATATACTACTTTTTAAGAGAAGTCCTGGTGCTAGGCTGAACTTTAAGCTGGTACTTGGGCAACATCTTTCCAGCTGCAATTTGCCACATGGGCTTGTCACCAGGAAATGGTTACCCACTGCACTTCATTTTGGTTAAAATCAGTTTTGCCAGCTCCAGGCACTGTGCTAATTTATCTCCATAGACAGTTTTCAGTGATACCAGTTTACAAATCCTTCAAATTTAATTTAAACTTATGTTAAGGTATGCTCCCTAAAAACCCAAAAATATTTATCCAGAATTTGAAAGAGGCAATTAACATAGCTCTGGAACCTCTCTCATCAGGAAAACAAGTGTGAAACACTTCAGAGTAGCAAGCATTCAAGACTGATGCAACATCCTTACTCCTTTGGCTGTCAGAATAAATAATACGGTAGTATTCCCTGAGAAGTTATCTTATATTTAATTAGAGATGTTCATAAAACAACAGAATATCATGATTGAAATTATTTATACGACAACCTATTTAAAACAGATCTCTTCAAAGCCATCCATTTTTCAAAGGAATACATTGGAGAAGGCCACATTCCATTCTACAAAGATAATTTTTTAATTACAAACACCAAACCATATAACAATCAGGCAAGAGTTCAAAACCAAGTGTAATGCACAAACAAACGAACAGTGTCCTGCAGCAGTGCCAGGGTGCCAGGCTGGGATTGTGCTGCACACACAGCTCCCTGCAGCAGTGCC